GTTTGTTTCTTGGGTTTATTTTAAAAGGAAAAAAACCAACTATTTCCACACAAATCTCAACTTCAGCTTTTACAGACTAAAGATGATACAATTCATATTAGATTTCCAGGCTCCATTAAACAGAAAAACTTATGCTTTAAAGAAATTTAAGTACTGTGCATACACTTGGCCAAAAGAAAAATCACCATGTCAAGTCTCTCTATATACAGGTCAAGACACATCCAAATCTTGGAAAAGACAGTTTAAAAAAAATTTTAAAAGTCTATTTACCACTTCTCCAAACCCCACAATTTAATCTAACCACAAAAGAAAGAAAAGTTCAAAGGGAAGTGAAAAAAAAATCCACCACAAGTTGTCAAGAGGTAAGGGGAGAGCACTGTTGAAGAAGAGTTCTGTTTCAGAGATGCATATGGGAACTGTAGCCAAGTCTCCTGATGATTCGTGCCAGACTGATCTGTTTCCCTCAATCCTAAACTTATATTTTCCAAAATCATATCCTCAAATGAGTAATGCATTCTATTAAATGAGAAATGAACCTAGAACTTCAAGACAAATTAGCAGGTGAAGGGATTGACTGAAATTCCCTGTGAAAACCAGGTTCAGTTATTTCTGCCTACAGACATGTTGAACTTATTTGTAAATGAGTAATAAATTTATAATTTCCACACGTTTTATATATATCTCCATATGTATGCTGGAAGAAAAAGTATTATTATATAACTAGTACTGGGGACTAGCACAGTTAATTAACATAAGCATGCCCTTAATTTAAATGCTTTGCTCTGCAAAACTCGATTATACATTTATAGATTTTTCAATGGGAAAAAATAACAAACCTTTCACAAAAACATTTTTTACTTTTTTTGCCTCTACAGCTCAATGCCAACTAAAGATATTTGTTAGTAGAAATAAAGCTCATTTAATCTCCTCCCCATACTCCTCCTTTTCCAGGAACGAGTTCCAGTCTCCTATCAGATACACAGTACTAACTAGAGCAAGGAAAAGGAAAAGTTTATTTATACTTCAGCTAGAATTTATATCAACAGGCCAAGACAAAATGCTGATTTTATGTGTGAGGATTAATACTGAAATTCCTTGCTACAACTTATGCCATTTTACACCAGAACATAAGTTGTATTATTAGTCATATATATATCCATATATATACACATAAAATGTTGAATCTAGATCCATTTCTAGTGAGATTCAAAAAGATTAACTAAAAGCATGATGATAAAAGGAAAATGTGGTAAAAAAGCACCTGGGTTGTTTGAGGTTTTGCTTATTTATCTTACAAAGATGACACCCTGTTAGAGATGGCTCTGATACTACTCTTTTATAGAATTATATTACTCAGAAGATCAGTTGAATTTGAATGAACTTTAAAATATCTGATATTGCACTAAAAAAACATTTATAGGAATTAAATAAAGTTGGAAACTGTTATCCACTTTGCAGCTCCTAACAACTGGAAGGACCACAAAGGTTTCTTTTAAATATGGAATTACATGGGCATCTCTTATGATAATTTTTACAGCAGCAAAAGTTAAGGATTTTTTGTTCTTTTTAATTCTGAAAGGGAAGCAAAAAAAAAACTAGTTGAATTCAAGAATGAACCTGATACATTAAACAAAGCAATGCCATTTGTCTAATGCAATTGCAAAGACCTTATCCTTTCTAGTTAGTGCTCCTGCTAAAAGTTTTCTGTCATGTCCCGTTCAGATCACAGGCTACTGATATGAAGTACTCTAGGATAAAGTGCTTCAGCATCACATCCATAGTCTTTTAAACTATATTGAAGGACTCTTATCAAATCCAGTAAGCAAATATAGTTATCAGTTGCCACTATGGCAGAGGTTGTAAAACAGTATTTTTTAAAAGCTAGTAATATGCCTCTCTTCAGAGTCACATGCAACATTTCTTAGTTCAAAAAGCATGAACTGAAAACAAACTCAACCAGAAAACAAAATTTTATAATTTTCTATGATAAAAATAGCCAAAGAAAATTCATCAGTGTAATTATAAATGGAAGAAAACCCTAACACTTTAGAAACAATCACCTTCCACTACCCAAGAATATTTAAACACAGATGCCTGAAATCAGTAGTACAATGGCAATCCTTCAATGAATGGATCTGATCAAGTCCAAACATGACCATCAGCATGAAGACTCAAGTATTTCAGACCAGCTGACAGCAAGATTACCTTCTTACCTTCCTCAGACTTAACCAGCACTTAAACAGTAGACAGCCCAAGCAAGATTCAGCTCACCTGTCCCATAGATAGAGAAAAACAAACATCTACACATAGATAAAATTAATCATATGTTAAAAATACACTATTTGCACTAGTGCTTCTAAAGAGAGTTTAAAAAAACTACGGCAGTGTAAAACTCCACCTGTTACCCAGGTACTGGACAAATCAGATCTTCTGTCACTGGTTTCTTCTACTAAAAATATTAACAGATCTTGTACCCACTTGAACACTTTTTGCCTTACATCATCTGAGTCCCAACCTCATCCTTTTCTAATTTGCTTTATCAAACCATCTTTTCTTATGTAGAAGTATAAGAAACTCATAGCACACCTTATCTATTTTGTTTCCACTTACATTGTCATATAAACAAGCTCCCCTGCTTACCAAAAATCTAAATGACATCAGCAAAAACTCATCCTCCAGAACTCAGGCCACAGTGTGAAAAGCTAATATGATGCAGGAGCACTTCTATTTATTTTCTTGAAATACATCTTTTTTGGAAAAGACTAAAATAGCGCAAGCAAGGAAAAAAAATGTTGAGGATATGGACAATATTCAAAACCTGATAAAAAGCAGAGTCCTGAAGTCTATTCCAAGAACAGAAAAGAATATATCAAAATTCTATTATACTAAGGTCAACATTTTTAATCATTCATTTCAACTTCAACAGAGGTAAAAAATAGATGACAAATATAAAGCTAACTGACCTAGGTAGTAGGAACAAGTGTCTTAAAATAAATCACAAACATCTAGTGATCAGGGTGTAGGAGGAGATCACAGCCTTTTTTTCCTCATTATGGATTTAAAAGATGATTTAGAACTTGATGACAACTGATCAGTTATCCAATATTTTAATTTAGAGCTATAGGAAGAGAGCAGCAGTAATTCCATTCTCAAACACAAAGCAGCAAGATGTCAACTAGAAATCGATATACCTGGTTAGAAGTGCAGGAAAAAAATTAATCTATGAAGCAATACAATACAAATGCTTCTAACAGAGCAGTAACCATGCTGTTAAAGCAAATCTAAAGACTTATTTCTTAGGTTATAGGCATACATTTCAAAAAACTAGCAGTTCATGTTCATTTAGATTTCAAAATTTCAACAAAATCATATCATTGTGCTTATCTAGATTTAAAATATAACTGCAAAAGAAAAACACTATATCAAAGCATTCACAGTACTCAAAAATTCCACCTCCAACAACGGACATATGATTATTAATCTAATTTTCTAGATTATTAATTTAATCTAATTTAGATTATTAATCTAATCAACATTAAGTGAAGATTCTTCCTTAGATACTCTGGAGTTATTATATCCATAAAAAAAACACAGCAAAAATATAAACCTGTTGCAGCACATTTTTCCATCTTGCTGCTACTGCTTTTGCTGTATTGGCCAAAATTACTCTTTCAGCTTGGTGGAAGAAACTAGAGTGACTCTTCATATTCTCCATCCCAAGTTTTGCTACCCAAGT